ACTACAGCTCCTGGCCCGCTGAGCTCAGGTGACACTTTTCCTTCTTAGGCCCAAGGGAGGTACCAGCCTCCCGCTAGCAGTAGTCCTGGGTCCCTCACCATCTCGTCTGCTTCTGTGACCTGCCCACGGATCCCTTCCCACGAACCGCTTCCTCGCAGGAGCCTTACCAGCGCTACATCCTTCCTGCACTCCTGGGGCTCGTTTCCATTCCCTCCCCGATCCTTTGGCTTCCCTGGGGAGAGGGGTGGTGGACACTGTGGGGTGCCACCCACACCTCCCTTGCTGGGCCACAGCACTCTTCCCCCAGCTCTGGGGTGCCTGTGGCTGAGGGCGCTCTCAGCTGAGTCCTTCCTCAGAAATCCCCCCAGGAGAGAGCACCTGGCCCAGGGTCACTGCCCTGCCCAGCTGCATGCAGCTCACGTCCAGTGAGTGACGGATCAGGGGGAGAGGGAGGAGCTGATGAAGGTGAAACCGTCAGGGTTTGACAACGCTGAGGGGCTTTTCCGCTGCTCTTTGGCTCCTCCGCCCATTCCTTCTGGGGCCTCTCTCCTGGAGCTGTTCCTGACAGCTTTACAGCCAGCAAACTCCCTGTGCTCGTCTCCATCTTAGCTTCTGTTCCCCAGGAATTTGTCCTGAGACAATGGGCTCCTCACTACCCACCAGGCAGTGGCCACTGGACTCCAGGCTGCTAGCCCTCGAAGACAGCGCCTGCCGGACTAGACCCAATTTCCTTCTCGCAGGTGCTGGCCAAAGTTTGGCCCTTACCCGCCAGGATCCTATCTGTTCCCACTCTGCAGAAATCCCACCGGTGATCCTGTGTCCCTCTTGTTGACAGGAAGGTCCAGTGTCTCTGGTCTGAACTGTCTCATCACCAACTCATCTCTAGCTCTGCATTCTTTTTCACAAAATAAGAAAGTGCTTCTCAGTTCACGCTACATGCCGGGCACAGTGCCAGGTACTAGGGACAGAGAAATGGGTCAGTAGTTATGCCTTTGAAGGTTCAAGTCCCAGATATGCCTCTTCACTCGCTGTCTGACCTCGTTAAGGGGACTGAGGGGAAGGGGCTAGTATGGTTGTAAAAGGAAATAGAGAGAGGGCAGATCGTCAAGGTCAAATGTTGGGTTCAGACAGGAGACTTTGCAGCAAGTTTTTACACGGTGGAATGACTGCATCAAGGGGGGAAATGTTGATGATTTGGGGGTACAGTTGCTGGAGTGAGAGGAGACAGAGATGTATCTGTGCACGAGTGAGGGGCTGCTCTCAGGGGCACAGGCAGTGAGTGCAGGAGCACGGGAACAAGCAGGTTCATAGAGCAATGAGTGGAAGTTCTCTCCTGATGGCTTCTACTTCTCAGGGACACAAGGAGGGAGGTTGGAAGCCAAGAGTGAGGTTGGGGAAAGGCACTTGTGAGCTGAAGAGGAAAGAGAAGATGTGTAACAGTCACCCAGGGGGTTGTCAGGCTGGGCCACTGGGATGATTCAACAGGAGATTAGATGAAAAGCGTTTCTGCACAATGCCCTGTGCACAGCGAACATGTAAAGAGTTTAGTTATTTCTGTCATCCAGAGAAGGCATCTGCTTTTTGGTGACTATATTTACCCAGGAGTCTAAATTACACATTGGAGGGTTGTTTGATGAGCTTAGGATTAGAGAAGAGGCAGTGAGTCAGGGAATTTCTTTGAAACTACCACTGACTAATGATTTATCCCTCACTGAGTTAACTATTCTTTGTGAGGAACTGTTTTCTCACCCTAGAATCAGGACTCAGTCTTGCCTCCTGAACATTTATCATAAGGCGCGGTTTCTCAGGACTGTGATTGATGTGGCTTACACAGGTGCACTTTCCAAATCACAGATGCTAAAAGATCGTTTCTGGCAAGACTGTCTTCAACCCCACACATAAATTTAACTGCCATGCCAGCTACAACATCAGAACCTGGCATTTCATCGCCATCTCTTAATCGTGGGTTTACCTTTCTTACTTGGGGTGATGTGAGCCTTCTGTGTACTGAACCCACGCTGGCTTTTTCTAAAAAGTTCATGAGGAACAAAAGGAGTGAATGCAATGTAAGGATGTGGAGCCTGTGGGTTTTAAAAAAAGATTTAATGAAAAACATAAGTTAAATTCAACCCAAGGCTAAAAAGGTGATTAATTATCGTCAGCATATCTCATTTATTAAAAAGAAATAAACATTCCTCTCCGTTCTCGAACTGACTTGAGTTGAACTGTTTCGCGGGGGAGATGAGGGCAGGGGGTCTTTCTATTCTGCTGGTATAAACGCTCCAAGATGTGTTGGCGTCGTAAGTCAGGAACTCAACTTAACATTATAGGATATTTTCCTCTGTGCAAGTACTATCTTCCCCCAAGTTTTAAGTAACTAAACCATGATGTATCAACTAAGTTCAAGTTTTTGCAAAATTATTATTCCATTAAGTTTATGTACATGGGCTTCTGTTAGTAGGAGAGAATTTGGTTCTATTTTCTAGCTCGAGAGCCAGTGTAAAACAAAGACCCCTTGTTTACTTCTTTTATAGGACAGGACTAATATCACCTACCTACTTTTTAGGGTGTTTGTAAGGTTTACAGATAATATTAAATGTTCAGAGTACACTGTAGGAGCTCCCTAGATGAAACCCATTTGATAGTCAAAGGTGTTTAGAAGTGCTCATCCAAAAAAGAGTTCATCAAATTTTTGTTTGAGAGGATCTCTTCTCCTATTTCCCATTTCTCAAATCATTGACCACACTTGGAATGAGTGACTAGAAGATAGAAGGGATACAGGTAAAATCTAAATCACTCTCAACTGAAATTCAGATGTAAACACAAACATCTCCACGTAAGTTTGTGTAGTTTTCCCCCAAGGAAAGAATGCACTGGGATAATGCCTACAAGCACAAACATGTGAATAGTGTGCCCTATACATTAATATAAGGCATACAAGGACATGAAATGTGTTCATTTTCCTCCACCTGTGATGCTTCCTTTTTTTCTTCTTCTATTGTTGACTTCTTTCTATTTCCTCCCATCCCTTATTAACCTGGGCTCTCTTCTCTCTCTACATTTTTAGCAGGAAAACTCAGCCTTTGCAATGCACATGTTTTTTCAAGTTCTAACTCTAGTCAAGCATCTTTTTCTGGAACTACATGCCTGCTTCCAACTACCTGTTTGGCATCTCTGTATGGATGTCCTGGTGGCACCTTATACTGAATACACTCAAAGTTGCATTCCTCCTGTTATTCCCAAAACTAGCATCTCCTCCTGAGAATCACATGTCTACAATTAGAAATGAACTGGCTTTGGTTCGTCCTGTTTTGATACCCTAAGTCCAATCAGTTGATCTTAGGAGCTTTACCTTGCTGTCCTGTTTCTACTGAGAGATTCTTACCTCAATTTTTATAAACACCTCCTGACTGGCTTCCCTACCCTCAGTCTCCTCCCATTACAATCTAGCCCAGTAATTATACCTGGATGAATCCTCCTAAATCACAAAAGCAATAATCTACTTTCATTCTCAAGATCTCCCATTGAGAAAGTGAGCAAATACAAACTCATGCTTGAATCTGAGGCTCTCCACCAGACATCATCCAGTATCTCAAGCTTATCGCCCTCTAGTCCTTTGACCTGGAGGTTGCAGAAATGCATGGCCCCTCAAAGGCAGCCCTAACTTGCACATGTAACTTTATAAAGCCCACATGAAGGCTTTATAAATTTTGAATTAGCTGCTTATTTTGAAGTAGTTGCTAACATTTATATATTGGAAGGTTTCACATAAAAACCTGGAGCCTGCCTTCTCATGAAAAGTTGGACTATCTGGTGACTTTGGGTCTACATTTCCAGGCAACACAAAGGCTAAGCTGGGCAGTGAGGGCCCCAGTTCACCTCAGCCTTCATCTCATCGGCATCACGCAATGTGGCCCTTGGCTTGGTGCCTGCAGGCATGTGAATTATGTCGCTTGCCCTCTGCTGCCCAGTATTCCACCCAGGTGCATCCCTCCCAGGGGCACAGTGTACCTCTGCTGTTATTCCATCTTTCTAGAAATGCCCTCTCCCTCCATCTTTCCTGCCTTTAAGGTCTACTTTGAACAATGCATCTTCCACGAAGCACTCCCGCTGGATGCTACCACCCTGTTCTTGAACCTCTGTGACGCCCTGTGGTTCTGTGGTGGCCTGTATCCCACTCTCACTGGATCATGGGCATTGGTGTCCTGGATTTCTCCCAGTTCCTCAAGGAGGTGGACTGACAAGCACTTCTCCCCCACCCCTCAGGGTTTCTAGGGGAGTGGTGTCCTCTTGATCTGGACCTTCCCTCTCCTCCCCACAGAGGAGTGAGTCTCCCTCTCCCAGCCCCCTTCAGGGACCCACCTGTCTACACAGTGGAGAAGCCTTGTTCTGCTTGGCTGTGAAGGCCTGGCCTCGGCAGGTGAGCTGGAGCTGATGTCAGCACTCCCTGGCTGTGTGCATTGGCCCAATTCTGAAGTTCAGTGTCAGGAGGTACCACACATCTAAGCCAGGATTTCCCTTCCAGGTTTTATGAGCAAACAAAGCTAATATTTTCATCTTCATCTGCTTGAATACTTACCTCACAACTGTTTCACGCTCAAGCAGGGAAAAGGAGGGATTTTAATTGGGCGCTTTTCAACCCCAACAAGAAGAGGTCACTTTTTCTCGAATTTTCTGCAGCTCTTAGTGAATGTTATTGTACAGAGAGGCACTCAAAACACTTCACAAGTTGGATCAAAAAAACATAATCAATGTGCATAAAATTAATGCGATATAATTTTTTTAAATCCTCACCTGAGGACATGCTTAGAGAGAGGGGAAGGGAAAGAGAGAGAGAGAGAGAGAGAGATCAATCGGTTGCCTTCCATATATTCCCTGCACCGGATAACACTCAACCAACTGAGCCACTCCATCTGGGCTGCAATATAATTTTTCTTATGCTTATGTCTGCATAAACCACAACTTAAATGTCTCTTTGTAAAGTTAACAAACATGAATTATTCTGAATGTAACAAAATATTTATTTCCTATTTACATTTCCATTGTTACATATATCATTGCATATCATATCACATATCAAAAAGAAAGAAAAAGAAGGAAAGGGGAGAAGTATAAGCCTCAAAGGTGAGTGAAGAAAGCGTCAGGCCGTGTGAGTTACCAGCAGTCTCGCAGCTCTCGTCGCTTACCCTTTTTTGACTTCCTGGTGGTTTCCTGACGAATGGTGTCATACTCCAGTATGGCCATTTTGGAAAGTCTCTGTAAGTAGTGGGATGGTGCTCCAGCGAGAGGGTCGCTGAAGCCAGAATCTGTCAGGAGAAAAGACCAGCTGCTAAAATTCAAATAATCACACATTAACGATAATCTCTAAAATAAGGTGCAAGCAAGATGTCTGTTCCTCAAACAACCATCAAGCACTAGGAGTTCTTTGAAGTAGAAATGTTGCTACTTACTTTCTAAAGTGATTGTGATAAGTCATCTCAAAAAATATTTCACTAAAAACACCTGTAATGCTTGCATTTAACTATCTAAAACTAAATCTGTGCCTGTAACATGGGATGGCTGTGGCATTTATTCTCTATAAATAATTATAAAAATGTATTCTCCATAAAAGATGTATCTCTATAAATAATTAGCTCATGTAATACTTTAGATGCTTATCAAGTCATTTTCTCCATATAAAACTGTTTCTCATAAATACTAAGTGAAGTAACATAGTGAAATTATAAAGCAAAATGAGCCCTTTTCTAACTGAAAAGGCATTAATCAAGCCTCTATTATAGGTGGTAGCAATTGCAATAAGAGGTGAACACTTACTGAGTGATCTCTCTATGTCAAGTACTCTTTTCATCTATTTCATCTACACAACCATGAAGCAGGTAACTAGTACTATCTCGGATTACAAATTTTAAAAAGTTTCATGGAGGCTTAAATTCTTGCCCAACGGCAAAGACCTAGCAACTGTTAGGGGCAGGATTTGAACCCAGATCCATCAAATTCAAAGTTCCCATGTAATCACTACATATTGCCCTAAATATGTAAATATATATAAATATTTCTATTTAGAAACACACAAGTGTTTGGAAAAGACTATTATTTCACTTCAGTTTCAAGTAACAAAACAAGATGCCTTCAGATCTCCTAGGTGGTTGGGTATTTGGTTTGTTTTGGGTGTACTGCGTGTGTAGCATGACTGGGAAGGTCAGAGGGAGTGGAGGGCAAGATTATGATCCATATTCCTGTTCCCAGCACTGCCATGTGCTTGATCTTAGGAAGACCCTCTGGCTACAAATTAACTAGATTCTAGGTATTAAGCAATATTCGAAAAACTTCAAAGAACTTATCATACAGACCAATAAAATTAAGTTCAAGTTGTTAACAATAAGATAAATGTAAAAATTCTCAAATATTTAGAAATTTATATACACATTCTAAATTATGCATCAATCAAAAAAGAAATCATAATAAACATTTAAGTAGATGATAGAGAAGATACTACAAGACTTATGTGGTGAGGCAAAAGGGAAATTTAGGGTGTAAACCTCTCTGTGGTTTAGGGTATAATTTTCTAAAATTCCTATGTGAGAATAGAAGGCTGAAAATTAATGAGCTCGTTATAAGATAGACATTAGGAAAGAATAAACCCAAAGGACATGGCAGGAAAAAGACAGTACAGAAAAGAGGAGAAATCAATGAAGTAGAAAACAAATTTACAATGAGAAAGATTTTTTTAAAAAGACAAGAGTTCTTCACTGAAAAGACTAAAAAAGGAAAGCCTCTGGTGAGAGTAATCACAGAAACAAGACAGAGGAACAAATAAGTAATATTAGAAGAAGAGGGACAGAAGTACAAAAAGAGCAAAGACTAAACATTAGGCCAATAAATTTGAAAATTTAGACAAAATACCAAAAAATTCTAGAAAATATAACTTACCCAAATCGACTGAAGAATTAGAACGCCTTAAGAGTCCTAAAATTAAAATGATTGAATCAATATTAAAAGACTCCTCCAAAGAAAACGAGTTTCCCAAATGATTTACCTGCAAGGCTCTGGTTCATCTTATAGTTTTGCAGAGAGATTTCATTTCCTGGCAGCAGCCACTTTAATCCGGTCAAGGCTGGGCTGTAGGCTGTTTTAAAGCTAGTCTCTTCTTGGGACGCCTTTGTAGTGTGTGGTCCTTGGGGAGTTTTCACTGAGAGCCTGGTAGTTCACTAAGGGCTCTCCTGGGTAGGCCTCAACCTCCCTCTGTCTCCCCAGCAAATGCTAAGTTACTGAAACCTCTGCTCAGGTCTTTCACCTCCAAGAAGCTGTTTTCTGCTTGAGGTCCTGAAATATGACGGGCAGACATGCCCCTCAGGAACAGGCAAACACCTGGGGGAAAACTGCTCACAGAACTTGGGGCTCACTTCTCTGCAGTTATGTCTCCAGAATCTCAGCTTCTCAAGTCCTGTTGGAAATGAGAGCTCTTGACACCTTAAAGCAGTTGCTTTTTAATATTTTTATTATTTTTATAATAATAATAAATACATTGTATATTACTTTTATAGTACTTATTTAGTACAAAATCTATTTTATTGTATTTTTATAATTAGCTCTTATGCTAATTCTCAGCGATAAAGCCGTCTGATAGAAGCTATTCCATCAGAGCCAGAGGTGGAAGTTCTACCGGCCATTTCTTAAAAGATGTTAACTATTGAAATAGATGACAGTTGCCAAATGATCCCTTAAACACTCAAATCTGATCACAAGAAAATCACTCTTTTGTTAAAATTATTCAATGGCTCCTCACTTCAATCAGAGCTAGATACAGTGTCCCTTCCAGAGTCCTACAAGCTCAGCTGTCCACCTCTCTTACCTGACCTTCCTCACTCTCAGATTAGGAACACCTGACTCCTGATGTCTCCCAACAGGCCAGGTACCATCCCACCCTGGCATCTTTGCTGGCTCCAAAAGAATAACTGTTTCCTGGGACTTTAATTCCATCACCTCTTTCAAGTCTTGGCTCAAATATTACCTTCTCCATTACACCTGTTCTGGCCCCAGACTTCCTGATCTCCCTTCCCCTGTTCTATTATGTTTCTATTATATTTTCACCTTCTGATATACTAGGCAATGACTTCTTTATCATATTTAATGGTGGTCGGCTGTATTCTCTCACTAGAATGTAAGCTCCACAGGGCAGGGACCTTCGTCTTGTTGAGGGATGAAGAGGAAGCCCAAGAACAGAACTTGTTTATAGTATGTGGAAATTCAGAAAAAGGATCTTTCCAAGGAGAAGTTCATGACTATTTACCCTTATGAACGTCCAGAGACTGGACTTGCAAAACTCCTAAAAAGTCAATTCCGATTGCTACCAACAATGTCAAGAAAGGTCTTAGCAATTTTAGTGTTTGTGGTTTCTTTGGAGGTCCTCTATTAACTCCATTAGTCCATAAGTTTAAAATCATAGAAGAGATGGAGATAACTCTGATTATCATAAAATAAGTAAGGTTTAAAAATTTTAAACTGGTAAAGAAATAATTGTTACACATAGATAAAAAAGGAAACAGCTGATAGTCTGAAGGACAAGTAGTAACTAACATATAATGCTAATAATGTTATACTTAACCCTGTGGTTCTCAGTTGGGAGTGGTTTTCCCACCCTATGGACCTTTGGTAACATCTGGAGACCTTTTTGATGAGCACACTTGTGGGGTGTAAGTGGCATCTAGTGAGTAAAGGCCAGGGATCTTTCATCGCACAGGACAGAGCCCCACAACAAAGAATTATCTGGTCGCAAATGTTAATACTGTCACTGTGGGAATACCCTGGCTTACATAACAATTGACAAAAGACAAGAAAGTGGAAAACTTTTGACTACATGAGTCAAGAATCTTTTCCATTAACTTTGGGTAAAATTACTTCAGGAAATGAGTAAGAATTTATTGGAGAACTTAAACGCTAGACATATGCATGTCGCATGCCATATATGGCTCCCTTGGTATAAGGCCCCAGGAATTGGTAACACATGAAAGTTAGGGATGAGACAGTAAGTCTAGATACCAGAGCTGCCAAGAAATTCTCCATAATCTTTCGGACATCATTAAAAGGGTAATTACCTGGCTCAACTGATTTTCCAGTGTCTATTTTTGAAAAACAAATTCTGATCAAACATGAGTACTGTGGAGGTGAGAATGCCAGATTTTATAGCTTCAAAGAACAAACTCATACTCCAAATAGGTGAAAATACAGCTGGGTGCTATAAACCCTCTTAGTCACCAAAGACTCAGGAATAAATAAATTTTAAGAGTAGTTTTTTTGACCCTAAACTGCTGGCAAACAGATAAGTTTCTGTAGTTGGATATTGTAGATACACAGGATTCAGGAAAAAAATTAATTAGAAGATAAGACCAGAAAGGCAAGTTAGGGGAAGATGGTAAAGGTTCAATGCCAAGCTAAGGACTTCATACTTTAGTCTGCGGGAAATGGGGAAGCATTGTTTTTGAAGGAGGGAGTAATGCAATTATAGGCCATGGGTTTAGGCTTTTGTTGCAGTGTTGAAGGATTTCAAAGGTCAGAAATTCCAAGCCAGACTAGTTTGCAGGCAAATTGCAACGGCCCACACGGGGATGAGGAGGGCCTATCCCAGGGTCCTGAGATAATAAAGGTATATTATATATTGAACACAACACTCACTACATTTATAAAATAAAGCTTCAAAGAAGCATTAAAAAAGCAAAAACAATTAAATCAGTGGGAAAAAAGGAAGTTTAAAAAAAAAGATAAGTGTTCAGCAGCTCAGTAAGACATGTGGTAGAAGAAAAAGATGAACCAACTTACCTTTTGCTCTCTCCGGGAGTGGTGCCACAGCACAGGGCTCCTTAGTCTTCTTTATCCTGAAATTATAGAAATCATAAAATCACTTCTCTATAAATCCAGGGTACATTAACTTTTCAAAATGCAGTAAGAGACAAGAAGCATGCTTTCAGTGAAACTCACTTGTTGAAGGACATCACATGGAAATTAAGTAAACATTAAAGAAATAAAACTCCTTCCATCATAACTAATCTAATCAGAAGCAGATATGAACCATCTTAGTATCTCGGCTTTTGCTAATAAATTTTACCAGTGGATGAGTGCTGTGTCTAACTTTTCCCATCTTTCTCTCAATTTATTTTTATCTTAACTCTTGCTAATCATCATTCAGGGGATGCTACGAGGAAGGGAATCAAGATGAGATTACCAGGCTAGCTGGCTATTCCAGCTAAACAACTCACTTATTTGTGCACTGTTTACCGGTTCATTACCACAATCTGAATTCTGACATAATGAACTTTCGTTCCTTCTGGAATAGACCTAGATACTAAGTAGTTGTTAGAGAAAACATCATGTTGAATCTGCTGTGGGTGACATGGTCCCTAAGGATTCCAAATTTCTTGTACCTACATTAAGCATTAGAAGTCAGCCACAACTTGTAAATACTCTTCACCTCTAGGGTTCCTATTATTAGTTATATTACCAGAGTCAGTGAAATTTTTTTATTAGCATTAAAGAAATTTGAAAAAACATTAGATTTTTATCAGCATTTTAAAATCAAATATTTACATACAGAGTGGGGGAAAGAGGGTAAAGGTTTATACACAAAACAAACAAAAACAAGTACTTCCCTGCTTTGCCAGGACTGTTCCTTCACAGGGCGCTGGGCAATATGCAGAGGAGAATAAAACACTTGTAGGCAACTCGACATGTCCTCCCCAGAGTGGCTAAAATAGAGACACTCGTTTCAAAGACAGGCACAGATCTAACATTTATGCTTGCCATGCACCTCCTGAACACTGTGGCACCCAGCCCCTTCTTCCACTTCGTATGTGAAAAACACTTGTCATAAGACAATTGTCATATATTCAAATTATCCTTCACTGACTTAAGGAAATTCATACTCAAGTCAATGTGAAATGTTGATGAATCATCTCACAAACAGCTAAAATTTAAATGAAAACAAAAATAAACTGAAATAGAGTGAAAACAGTAGGAAGCGACATAAAGACCGAAAATTTAGAGGCAGGACAGGCTGATTCAGGGGGTGCTTTCTGGGTGCCCAGTTTCTTTAAGGTGATCATAGGCACTGACAGAAAGGTAAAAAGACTGTTCTAGACTGAGACAAGTCCGTTGCTGCAGGCAGCCCTCCACACTCTTACTCCCCTCCCCATCAAGGGCTGTGACCCCTGGGGACATGACAGGAGCGAGCTGAGTATACAGGCATCTTGGTGATGGGAATCCACTGTCCCTGAGTAGGTTTTATACTCAGGTTTCCAATGGGCCCTCTTCTTTCTACAATCTAGCCACCCTGTCTCCTTAACTCTTACCATCTACTCTACTGGCAACTCTCTTCTGCCACCTCTGATTCTGCCTTGTTTCACTGTATCTCACTTCAGAAAGAGCAATTTGGTTTATATATTTTTAGAGCTTGGCAATCTGTCCTCAGATAATATTTAAAATGAGGGGAAAGACTTTATGTGTGCTATTGTTCATTGTGGTGTTATTTACAAAAGTGAAAAAGGCAAGGTAACCTAAAAGTGTGACGACAGGAACTTTTAAATAAACTATGTTATTAAACACAGTTAAACTATGGAACCATCAATGAAATATGATGTGGACAGTAACTAAAGATTATGTAGTGAGATAAATATATATATATATGTTAAAAAGGCAGAATAAAACACTGTAAGTACTCTAAAATCACAATTAAAATAAAAATACATGAAAATGAAGAAGACTAAGTGAGAACACCCAACAATATAAATGGATATGCTAGGATGGATAAATTTTCTTTTTTCCCCCCAAATTTTCTGCAAAGCTCTTATTTATTTTCACAATTTACATATAAACTTATCACAACTTTTCATTTTAGTATAATCTAGTTTTCTATTTATATTACCAGGATTTATTTCAAGAGTAATTAGAGAGAGCAATAATACTAGTGGAAAACTCAAGAAATAGACTCTGAGATTCTGATATTTGCACACTATGTACAACTGGATGACTTTAAAGCTTATTACATGAAACTATAAATATACATGAAAATATAAATTCTCCCGTTAAGGGAGCTGCAAATCAGACTGCTATCATTGCTATGTCTTTTTTTTTAGGTTGGCCATTCAGTAAATACCTGATGAATAAATAAATAAACCAAAGCAGAAACCAATAAATAAACCAAATAGAACAGAAGACTGTCTTACTAATATATATACATATATCCCTTTGAAGAAAGGGGCTTTCCTTTAACAGTATGTCTGCCTGATTTACAGTTGGAAAGGTATTTATAATAATGTTTTTAAATGCCAGGATTCTGGCTGACAAACTTATTTCTGATAGTCAAGGAAGGGTCTTCATTAGGCTCATTCAGAATCGCCCCTCATAGCGCTTCAAACAAAAAGTGAAATGCAAGGGTAACGAAACCTGCTAATATCGCAGAGTTCATTTATTTTTATTGCTAAGAATTCCAATATTCTCATGAGCAATCTACACTACGGCAATAAAGATTTTTAAAAGAAAGTCCTTATATCCTTTCTGGCAAAGTCACTTAACTGAGGAAAGCGCCTACTTGTCAAATTGAATAAAATCACTGACTCTGATTTACAAAATCAAATCCTTTATGGAAAAAAATTAGTAAGGAAGAAAAAATTAGATTCACTGGCCAGAAAGACCCCTCCAAGCAGAAGTACTACTACAACTAAATATTCAACAGAAGAGAACCCAATAGACAGGATTTACCTGACTGGAGGCATCTGGGTGTCAGCTCCCCGCCCTCTGCTAGGAACTGGTGGGGATGAACTCACACTTTTTTGGCAACTTTGCAATCCTGGTAAATATGGCATTTTGACATGTCCTTTGGGCTCTTCTAGACCAAATGCTCTGGTGTATTCTAACCAAAAATAGTATCAGAACCATCTTCATTATTTCTCAATTAAATGTATATAACTTCTTTTCCTACATACTATAATGCATAATAAAATGTACTAAATCAGTCATTAAGTAAAGAAAATTAAGCTACTGTACTTTACCTAGAATCTTTCCCAAGAGAATACCCTGAATTCCTAGTCTGGGGACTGTAAGGAAGAGTGGTTAGGAGCTGCCTAAGAGACAGCTTCACAGATCCCCACCGTCTTCACTGTCCTCTGCCTTTGTGATTTTATGTAACTAAAATTCTCAGAATATTAGATACATTCACACTGGAAAGAGTTGAAAAGCACTTTCAAGAGTCTTATGTTGCCCTGGCCAGTGTGGCTCAGTTGGTTGGGCACCGTCTCCGTGTACCAAACGGTTGCCCGTCAGGGCACATGCCAGGGTTGCAGGCTTGATCCCCAGTAGGGAGCGTGCAATAGGCAGCCAATTGATGTTCTTCTCTCACATAGATATTTCTCTCTCCCTCCCTTTTCCTCTAAAAATAAATTTTAAAAAATATTTTTTTAAAAAGTCTTTTTATGTGCTACTTTAAATCTTTTCACCTTCCTGCTTTTATGTAAAAAAATCAAGATGTATAAATACATGATCACCTGAGCAAGGGATGAGAGACGAAAGAATTCTATTTCAGGCATTGATTTTAATGATCTCTCTGCAAAATTCCACACCAAATCTATAAACAACAGCATTAAAGCACCAAGATTTCTTCTACTGACCTCACAGATCGTTGGACAATGAGGTTATCCAATTATTTTTAAATTTTTTCAAAACAAAAGCCATAAAAGGAAAAAACAGATTAAGAGATTAAAGATTTGAGTGATCACTAAACTAAACATAGAGAATTGTTTTTAAAGCTTTCTCTACTGAGCAAGTCTAGCCCAGCAATAAAAAAGGTATTTAATGTGGCTGGAATTATATTAAATATTCAAAATGCTCTTTTGCAAAAAAAAAAATAAAATAAAATGCTATTTTGGAAAAAAAAAGTTTCTCTTGACCAAAAAAAATATTCTTTTTTCAACAATTAAATTTGGGGGTAGGGGGACAAATAAACTGGTGTCTCTTGAGTGCCTTTAATGGGAATCAAGTGGAAAGGTTGAAAAACTGTAGCAATATCTTCAAAACCAGAAGAAATTTTAATTTTGTTATTTTCAAGAATTATATCTCCATCAATAAAGGTAATGGCAGAATTCAGGATAAATAAAAAATACAATTATAATTTGAAATTAAGAGGGAAAGCTATGAATACACTCATTTACATGTCAAAAGTTCTCAAATTAGTCCTTACTGAGCAACTGTAAGATATAAGATACTTTCTACAGTAAAGGAAGGGAGACACAATTTTGGTTAGAATTATTAATACAAAAGGTGTTATAAAAGATTTGGGTTTCTTAAAATATAAAAACCAGCCCAAGTGCCCATCAGTAGATGAGTGGATAAAAAGCTATGTGACATTTACACCATGGAATACTATGCAGCTGTAAAGAAGAAGGATCTCGTACCCTTTGGGACAGTATTATGCTAAGCGAAATAAGCCAGGCAGAGAAAGACAAACATCACATGATCTCACTTATATGTGGAATCTAAGGAACAAAATAAACTGACAAACAACACAGGACCATGGACATGGAAGCATGAAACAGACTGACAGATCTGAGAGCGAAGGCAGGAAGGAAGGAGGGCAGGAAGAGATTGACCAAAAACTTATAAGCATAAATGCACAGCCCATGGACACAGGTGAAGACCTGGGGAGGAGTGGGAGATCAGGCGAGCGGGGTAAAGGGGAGAAAATGGGGACATCTGTAATACTCTCAACAATAAAATAAGCTTTAAAGAAATTTTAAAAATTTTTAATTAAAAAATACAAAATTTTTTAAAGAACACCAAGTTGAGGTATTTAAAAATGAACACTTCATGAAAAATAGTATGATTCAACAGAGCACAAACTGCACTGATATCAAGGGAAGTAGTTCTTTATGTTTGTTTCCACCACAAGTTACAGAATTTTGTTTGTTTGTTTTAAATGTATCTTTATTGATTTCAGAGAAAGGAAAGGAGAGGGAGAGAGAGAGAGAAACATCAATGATGAGAGAGTCACTGATCGCCTGCCTCCTGCACTCCCCCAACTGGGGATCGAGCCCGCAACCCAGGCATGTGCCCTGACCAGGAATCGAACCCCGATCGCCTGGATCCTAGGTCTACGCTCAACCGCTGAGCCACGCCCAGCCAGGCCAGAATTATGTTAAGTAATTTTAATTTGCTTCCATTTTTCTTTTCCACAAGCTTAAGACAGTATTTTTACTTAAATGTTACAAAAATTATAAAATGTCTCTTATTGCTTTAAAAATATATATGTATATTCAAATTCACTATTTCTATATTTTCTTAAGTAAAATAAGAGTAAATTTGAAGTTACCGTTTCTCAACTTCTGTGTTTCTATGACTGCCTTCCTCCAGCTACTCTCAAAAAGAAAATAACTGTCAAGGGAATTTCTGGTGCCATTAGAAGCCTCAAATCTGATTTCAGGAGGTAGCGCCGGCATTTTTTCTTCTCTCAACAATGCTGATGAAACTGACATGCTGATCCAGAATCGGGACACAAAATACAAAGAAAAAAGGTATTTCAGAGACAAATTTTTTTCTCATTTGTTTTCTATCATACAGAAATTTTCCATAATAAAAAGTTAGGAGGGGAAAGCTCGCAGCTGCAAGAATGTACTACGTAAGGAATGTGCTGAAATACTTTTAAAAACCAAATGTTTTGACCTGATGTTTCCTGAAAACACAGTCACCACCTAATTCTGGTGGAAAAAGAAAAATTAAGGATACTTTATAGGACCAAAAAAGAGATTGTTTTAAAAAACCACACATACATATAGAAAGAGGTAATAAAAAGAACCAAGTATCAGGCCACAAAAACTCACTCAGATCAAATGCTTTCTCAGTTTAACAGTAAAGAGACACAGGACTGAGATTAACCAATTACTTAAAACAAAGAGCTGTAAAATAATTACTATAGTTTCAAAGGCACCCCAAAATATGGGCACATTTAAACATTTTTGTATTAAAAATATTCCAAATATTTTTAAATCAGTATCTTTTTTCATCTAGTTTAGAACTAGTAGAAAATATTAATTAAATGTTCTCTATTCATTATTTATCCATCCATTCATTTATTCATTTAACAAAAGTGTGTTGAATTACAATCATATGTCACACAGTAAGGAAGAATGAACCAAACCAGATGGGGTCCCTGTTCTCTTGAAACGTGAGAGAGACAGACATTAAGTAAACAAGTAAATGAACAAGTGTATTTCAGATAAAATACAAGGAAAGTAAAGTCAATTCTCATTATTCATAATAGGTACGGTCTATAAAGTCAACATTAACACTGAATTTATGAATGCCTAACTTTCGCTCCCCCAAACTCTAATCGAGGGGTCAGCAAACTATGGTCCCTGGAACAAATCCAAGCCTGCCACTTGTTTTAGTAAGCAGATTTGCACTGGAACACAGAAGCAAACGCCCATTTGCTTACATATTTTCTATAGCTTCCTTTGGCCACAGAGCAGAGTTGAGTAGTTGCAATTGAGAGGATGGCCCACAAAGCCTGAGATGTTCACTATATTTTACTGAAGTTTGCCAGCCCCTGATCTATTTGTTAAACAGGCACCTATTGAGTACTTACTAGGTGTTACTCTAGGTGCAATTTCCCAAATTTAAAATACCATACATATCTAATAGAAATTCTACTTCTTTTCCCAACGGGTCTTATCTTGAGGTTCATGCACCCTATTTGGAGACCATACTCATAAATAATGGAAGCTAAGGAAGGATCAGACCTAAGATTTTAAAACATTGTTTTAACTTCAGCAGTATTGAAAGGCAGATGGAACAAGGATGCCAATTAGGAGACTCTTGGAATCCACTAGGTGAATGGCAGTGAGACCTAAACCCGGAACAAAGCAGACTGAGAGCCAAGCTGGGTAGAAGTCAATGAAGTAGCATCTAGACGACCTGGGGGCTGGTGCCATTCACAATGTTAGGAAGGAAAATGAGGAACCGGAAGAGGCTCTCACTGAACAAAGATGAGAGTATAAACATTAATAAGAATATTAACTGCAATGAATTGAAAGGTAATAACTATGCATAATACATAAATGTATTGTGATACTCTTAAAAAAACACCTCCCTGATCATCTTTGGAGTATACTAAAGAATCAACTTGATTTGAAACCTACTACATATGAGAATCAAATATTTATCCAAATAAATGACAGGGAAGTTTTTTGTGTCGACTTGGTTAGGCTCTTTAATTAGACACTAATCTAGGTGTTGCTGTGAAGGTGTTCTGTAGATGTAGTGAACATCTAGTGAGCTGACTTTAAGGAGATTACCCTCAAAAATCTGGGTGGGCCATATATCTAATCTGTTGAAAGGCCTTAAGAACAAAACTAAGTTTTCCCTGAGGAAGAAAATTCTACCTCAAAACTCTAGCACCAATTCCTGCTGAAAGTTTCCAGCCTGCTGGCCTGCCCTTCAAATTTTGGATTTACCAGCCAACCCCCACAATTGCATAAGCCAAATCCTTGAAATAAAAAAATACATATACTGGTTCTGTTTCTCTGGAAAGCCCTGACTAATACAGCAATGATCATCAATGGCAGCTCAGATCAATGACAGGATGTACTTCCTGATAGAACAATGCCTGCTAAGTATCCTTGCAAAAAAAAAAGTCAAACCTGACTTTGATCAAGCCTTTAGATCTAACTACCAATTTAGAGGACATACAGGGGACAAAGGAATATATTACATGACATCAAAGGGAAGTGATCAGCAAAATCAGAATGTGCTCTCCTGTTCTTTTTCATACTGCCCCTGTTCTTGCCTCACGGTTTCCACATTTTCATCTCCTTGAATATTGTAAATTTAATTTTTTCCATCATGTTCTATTACTTTTTAGTTTTGGGATACAAATCTCCCATCTGCTAACTCTGCCAAGTCTCCTTCCTTGTGGTTCATTTCCTTATATAGTTTGTAATCTTTGACCGTGAGCTCATCTTTAGAGAGATTGCTATCTGCAGGAGTCCAGTGTTCCCTGAGCTACAGAAACTTTGCTATACAGAGAGGTTTTCCATTTGTCTCTGCCTGGACCTGGGTTTCAGAGGTGCCAGACCAGTTAATATGTCAATTTCTTGGATTGTGGTTCCTTAACCATGAAGTAATCTGAATCCAGACCTCATACTTGAGCTCTGCAGGGTATGAAGCTCTAATGGCTAGTAACTGGCTCTTTTCCTAGTTCAAGTGGATGGCAAGCTTCCTTGCAGCCTCCTCAGACCAATGGAGGGTATTTTTCTGGTTATCATCTCAGTGTCAAGGTTCTTGTGGCAGGTTGTATTTTTCAAAGAAGAATGCACTAATACATATCCATTCCCATATGTTCTTCCTTCAATGTAATGTCTGTTGATGTTCCTCCTCCAGGAGGTGAAGTCTGTGTTTCCTTCCTCAATCAATTCAATGCAGTAGAAGTGCCTGTGTGGTTTCCAAGGCGAGGTCATAAAACTTAATACAACCTCCTCTGGCTCTCTCTCTTGGGATGCTCACCTTTGAAACCCAGCCACCATTGTGAGGAAGCCAGGTGGCAAGAAGAGGTGATACATAAAGGTTCCAGCTGACAGCCCCAGCTAAGGTCTCAGTCCACAGCCAGCACCAAACACGACATGGGAGTGAACAAGCCTGCAGGTGACTCCAGCCCCAAGCCTTCAAATCTTCCATTGGAGGCCCCAGACGTGGTGAGGCAGAACCAAGCTGTCCCTGCTGTGCACTGTCCAAATTCCTGACCCACAGAATACATGAGCACAATCCACAGTTGTTTTCCACCACTACATTTTGGGGAAATTTGTGATGCAGTCATAGTAACGGGAACAGTACTCCTTTGTGACTTACAGCTTTCAGCAGATGCTCACCAGTGGCTTCCTATGTGAACACTCCTTCATCTCTGGCACCTGGGCATTTCCTTCTCTTGGTTCCTAGCTCAGCCACATATCCATAAATTACCTTATTATATTTCACCACACATTGGAAATATAATGAAGCAGAATGGGGTCTCTTTCGTGTCCGCTCACTCTGCCCAGGAGTTCCCAGAATAACTTTTCAAATGAAGACACAAAGAACTGAAGAACTTAATTTCTCTTACATAAAGAAAGATACTTAGAAATCAAAATAAAAATGAACCCTATAGAGAGTGTATTTATTACAGAACAGATAACTTGTTACAGAAAAAAATACAAATGGTCAACTAAGTTCATCCTCACTAGTACTCCAATAAATATAATGAGCTATGACTTTCATCAAACAAATGGCAAGAATTTTTTCCTTAATACTCAGTGTAAGATAGGGTTCAAGGAACTAGGCACTCTTACAGGTTTCAGTATGTGCATTTTTATAACATTTCCAGAGAGTAATCTAGCAATATATATGTCCTTAAAATTTTATATATGTTTGACCCAGCAATTCCACTTCCAGGAATTTATCCTAAAGGCATAATCACTGATACATACAAATATATATCTTCAAGAATGTCAAATCTGCCCTGGTTCATGTGGCTCAGTGTTTAGAGCGGTTTGTGCTTTCTTCTTTGAGCAATGGAGGGCACCGAAGGGCTTGCACAGAGGTGTGGCAGAGGCCGAAGACAGGTTAATACAATAATCCAGGGTGCTTACATTAGAGAAGCAGCAGGGAGAAGGCTTGATTAACAATTGATTGGATTTAGGGGGTTTAGCAAAGAAAAAGGAGTCAAAGATGATGGAGGCTATGAACTAGGTTGACTAAGAGAATTATGGAACCATGAATTAAGTTCAGAGAAAAAGTGCTGGCCTGGGGTTGGTGGACCACAACAGATCAGTTTCGGATATCATGAGTCCAAAACCTCCAGGTGGAGATATAACCTGGATCTAAGCAGTAGGAGTTGAAGACTATAGGTTTGGTTGGGAGGTGAAAATTTTAAGATTTATCTGTTTACTTGTGAGACCTGAGGCCAGAGACTGGATTAAAGTTGTATATGCAAGGCAGGAAGAGAAAGAAAAGACAGAGAAGTGACTAGACAGGCAGAGGATCTAGAGGAACCAGAATCGAAGGAAGCATTGGATCACATCCAATTCGACAGAAGAGAAAAGAACTACCGGGAACACTGTAATACCACATACACGTTCCCATTTAACCCTCTAACAACCCCATGAAACAATTCCCAGTTACTGACCAGGAATGCAGGCCCGACAAAGAACACAAGCATTGGAGTAAAATAAACTTGGATTCTCATCTTCACTCTGCCCTTTGAGAGCTGCATAAGCAGAGGGCCATGAAGAAAACAACAGTGCCTGTGATTCTTATCACAGGTTAGTGAGGATTAATTTAAAAACACATGTAAAGAACTAAAAAGCTTCTGCACAGCAAAAGAAATCATCCTCAAAACACAAAGGAACCCTACGGCATGGGAGAACATATGTGCCAAGGATGCATCTGATAAGGGGCTAATTTCCAAAGTGTACAAAGTGTACAACTCAACAAGAAGACAAACAATCCAACTAAAGGGCCTGAAAAGACACTTCTCCAAAGAGGACATACAGATGGCCAAGAGGCATATGAAAAAATGTTTAACGATGCTAGTCATCAGAGAGATGCAAATTAAAACCACGATGAGGTATCACTTCACACCTGTCAGAATGGCTGCCATCAACAAATGACACGTGCTGGCGAGGGTGTGGACAAAGGGGAACCCTGGTGCACTGCTGGTGGGAATGCAGACCGGTGCAGCCACTGTGGAAAACAGTATGGAGGTTCCTCAAAAAATTAAAAATGGAGCTGCCTTTTGACCCAGTGATCCCACTTCTAGGAATATATCCTAAGAATCCTGAAACACTAATCAGAAAGAATATATGCACCCCTATGTTCATAGCAGCACAGTTTACAATAGCTAAGATCTGGAAACAGCCCAAGTGCCCATCAGTAGATGAGTGGGTAAAAAAGCTGTGGCACATTTACACCATGGAATACTATGCAGCTGTAAAGAAGGATCTCGTT